CTTCCAGTACTCCGTGTCTCACCCCACCCCTCCTTCCATTGAGTTTGTCATTGACAGCGGCGCCAGTGTCACAGTCCTTCGTGACGCTGGTGCCCTCACCCCCCTCCCTAACCTCTCCACCATCATTGGAGCCGATTCTACTTTCTCGGTCACCTCCCGCCATACCTCCACTCTTCCCTGCCCCCTCTTCCCCTCAGGTTCAGTAACTGGCTTCCATGTCCCCTCCCTTCGCACTAACCTTGTCTCCCAAGGTGCACTTCAACGGGCCGGGGTCACAACAATCTACCCCGGCCACGCCACCCACTGCGACCTGTTTCACTCCTCCATGGGTCATTTCATCGTCCGTGTTCCCATGTGTCCTCGCACTCGCATGTACACCCTTCACACTCCCCGTCCGTCAGCCTGTCACAATGCCTCCACCATCCCTCCCCTCCCCCCTCCTCTCTTTCCTCCGCAACCTCCCCCCACCTCCCCTCCCGCCCCTCCTGCTCCCCCCCCATCTCAGTGCCATTGTCGTGATCTTACACATCTTGCCATCCTCCTCCACCACCGCCTAGGTCACCCCAACTTTGCCACCCTCCACAAGGCCGTCGCCTCTGGGCTCCTCAATGGCCTTCCCCTCACTCTCCCTCCACTCCCTCCCTCCCCTGCCCCCCCTTGCACCATCTGTGTCCAGAGCAAGCTCAAGCAGCTTCCTCATAAAAGTCACCCTTTTTGCGCCCCAGAGCTCCTGGATCTTGTCCACATGGATCTATGGAGCCCCAACCCCTCCCCCACCCGTCAAGGGCACCGCTACCTCCTCGTCCTGGTCGATGACCGCTCACGATACACCTCGGTCTCCCTCCTTCGCACGAAGGCCGAGGCACCGGCCTTCATCATCGCCTGGGCCGAGCAGGCGCGCACCCACTTCGGTCGTCCCGTTCGCCGCTTCCATTCCGATGGCGGCGGTGAATTCCTCAATCACCATCTCTCTTCCTATTTCTCCACCCATGGTATTCACCACACTTACACCCTCCCTCACTCCCCTCAGCAGAATGGCGTGGCAGAAGCTCGTGTTCGAGAAGTTACAAAGACCGCCAGGTGTCTTCTCGTTCACGCCTCCTGCCCGCCTTCTCTCTGGGGTTATGCTCTTCTCCACGCCGTCCTCCTCACTAACCTGTATCCCCACCCTCTCCTCCCCTCCACCACCCCCACCGAGCTGTGGACGTTAACTAAACCCGACGTCTCCCCCCTGCGCGTTTGGGGTTCCAGGGCGTATGTTCTCATACACCCGGCCGACCGCTCACGCACAGCAGGGAAGCTCGCCTCCAAGAGTCTACCCTGTGTATTCCTTGGTCACAACACCTCCTCCCCTGACTACCTGTTCCTTCATCCCCCCTCAGGTCGCCTCATTCGTAGTCGGGACGTCATCTTTGACGAATCCTCCCCGTACTACACGTCTCCTACCTCACCTGACCCACTCACCATTCCTCCTCGCCCCTTCATCCCCTCTGACACTGTCACCCCCCCCTCCTCCCCCCTCTCCCTCTTATTCCCCCACCCCCAGCACCTCCTCCTCTCGAATCTGCTCCCTCCTCATCTTCCTCAGGTGACATCCTTGACCCAGTACTCCCCCCCTCTCCCTCCCACTCCGCTTCCGCTCCATCCTCCCCCTTCTCCCCACCTCCTCCCCCTCCACCTCCTTCCCTCCCTCCTCCCCCATCTCCCCCACCTCCTCCTCCACCCCCCCAGGTGTCTTCTCCCCTTGTCCTTTGCCAGCGCCCTCATACTCGGTCCATGGATCCCCTCTTTGGTCCGCCCTTAGCCCCTCCCTCCCCTCAGGCAAAGGCACCCGCTCCAGCACCCTCTGCTTCCACCTCTGCACCCACCGCAGCAGCTCCCGCCGCCGCACCTGTGCCTGCCCCGGTCGCCGCACCCGCAGCGTCAGGATCCGCCGCAGCAGTGGCCCCGGTCAAGCGGCCGTGCAGCCGAGTCGCAGAGTCGTCGTGTCGCAGCCTCCCCCCTCAGCAGCGCAGCAGACTTGCAACACCACCCTCCCCTCCTCCTCCTTTCTCTCCCCTCCTCATCGAAGACTCCCATGGTGAATTTCTTCGCCTCCACCTCTTCTCCAACACCCAAGCAGTCGTCTTCAGCATGACCGGCGCCCCCGTACTTGTCTTCTCCGGCGCGCCCATCATCTTCGAGCCGGGAGATTATCACGAAGCTATGACATGCCCCGACCACCCTCATTGGGGCAAGGCAATCCTCAAAGAGAATGAGGCTTTTGTCCGCAACGGCACCTTCATCGACGTACCCCGCCCTCTCAACCACAACGTGGTCAAGGGCAAATGGGTATTTCGGGTCAAGCTCCTCCCTGGCGACGACCCGATCTATAAGGCCCGCTACTACGCCAAAGGATTCACGCAACGGTACGGCCATGACTTCCTTGACACCTACTCGCCGACCGCCACTCCCCCTGTCGTCCGCGTGTTCTTGGACTTCGTCGGCCGGCACGGCATGATCATGCACTCGATGGATGTCACCACGGCATTTCTCCAAGGTGAACTCCATGAGCGCATCTTCATGGAGCGTCCCGAGGGCTGGCACCTCCCTTTCCCTCCCAACACCGTTTGGGAACTTCGCCGCCCGGTCTACGGCCTCAACCAAGCTCCTCGGGAATGGCATGCCAAGCTCTCGAGCACTCTCCGTGCTCTTGGTTTTCGCCCTTCCCAGGCTTCCTCCTGCCTCTTCCTGCGCACCTCCCCCTCCCCCTTCTATATCCTCGTCTACGTCGACGACATGCTTCTTGCCGCTGACAACGAAGCAGACCTACAACAAGTCAAGGATGAGCTGCAGAAGCGCCTCCTCTGCAAGGACCTGGGGGAGGTCTGCACCTGGGGGAGGTCTGCAACTACCTCGGGATGGAGATTTCTCGCGATCGTGCGGCCAGGACCATCTCCCTCTCTCAGGCATTCTACCTCGAGAAGGTCCTTGAACGCTTCAAGATGGCCACGGCCAAACCCGTCTCCACACCCCTCCAAGTCGGTCACCAGCTCTCGTCGACATCCACCCACGGTTCCTCCACCAGTCCTTACGCTGAGCTGGTCGGGTCCCTGATGTACGCCATGATGTGCACTCGCCCCGACCTCGCCTACCCTATCAGTGTCTTGGCGCGCTTTGTCGGCGCTGGCAAACACACTCCCGAGCACTGGCAAGCGGCCAAGCGCGTTCTCCGCTACATCAAAGGCACCAAGGACTATGTCCTCACCTTGGGTGGCCCCACCCCTCCTCAGCTCACCGGCTATAGCGACTCCTCTTGGGCGGATTCTCAGCCCGATCGTCGCAGCTCACAGGGGTATGGTTTCTCCCTCGGGAGCGGCCTCATTTCCTGGCGCTCCACCCGCTCCTCCTCGATCGCTCTCTCCTCCTGTGAAGCAGAGCTCTACGCCGTCACCATGGCGGCCCAGGAGGCGCGGTGGCTCAGCTTCCTCCTCGCTGAGCTGGATGCTCCCCAGCCCTATCCCACCATCTGGTGCGACAATGCCGGTACTATCCACCTCACAAAGGAAGCCGTTTTCCATGGTCGCTCCAAACACATCGAGCTCCGACACTACTTCGTTCGTGAGCTCTTCCAGGCTGGACACCTCACCGTGCGCAAGATTGACTCTTCAGCCAACCTTGCAGACATCTTCACCAAGGCCCTCCCTCGTCGTCCCCATGCGGCTCTCCTTCGCCTTCTGTGTCTTGCCCCTCCCTCACAGGGGACTACCTGATTCAGGGGTTGCTTCTCCTCACCTTCCCAAGACTTATGGCACTCTGTAGGCTAGGCTTGAGCATGAACCCGACCCGACCCGACCCGACCCGACTTTGCCCTACCCGATGTCGGGGTCGGGTCGGGTCGGGTCGGGTCAAGTCGGGTCGGAGTTCAGGAAATGCCAACCCGACCCGGGTTTAGTAGGTCGGGTACTACCTGACCCGATTTCGGGTCGGGTCGGGTTGGGTTAGCATAGGGGCAGGGACGGGTAATAAGCTGACCCGACGGATCGGGTTTTGTCGGTCGGGTCGGGTCGGGTCGGGTCGGGTACCCGAGGGTCGGGTCGACCCTCCGCAAATGTCGACCCGACCCGTCAAAAAGTCGGGTTCAGGTCGGGTTACCCGACCCGACCCGACCCGTCAAAAAGTCGGGTTCGGGTCGGGTTACCCGACCCGACCCGACCCGTTGCTCAAGCCTACTGTAGGCTAAGGGGTTGTGTTATAATATTCTCCCTTCATTCTATTAGCCTACATCGTTTCATTGTCTTAGGTACTTATAAGCACCCCACTAGGGTGTATACACCCAAGTTGGGGGTTGGGTTCCCAACCTTGTTGGGTTCCCAAATTGGTTGGGCTCCCAATTATTGGAACCCCCAATAATCCCAACCAAGATTATTGGACCCACCAATAACCTTGGCTAGGATCATTGGACCCCCAATAAGTTGGCCAACTCAACTTATTGGGGTCACCAATAATCGTGGTCACCTCCCAACCAAAACCCCCCCTCCCTCCTACTCCTCACCTATGTATACCCACGCTCTTTCTAATACAATCATCACTTGAGTTTCTCACAGTCCCCATCTGAACCAATCCATCCCCATGTCACACCACTCGTCCCCATCTGAACCCATCCATCCCCATGTCATCACACTCGTCCCCATCTGAACCCATCCATCCCCATGTCATCACACTCGTCCCCATCTGAACCCATCCATCCCCATGTCACACCACTCGTCCCCATCTGAACCCATCCATCCACATGTTATCTCACTCGTCCCCATCTGAACCCATCCATCCACATGTTATCGCACTTGTCCCCATCTGAACCCATCCATCCACATGTTATCGCACTCGTCCCCATCTGAACCCATCCATCCCCATGTCACACCACTCGTCCCCATCTGAACCCATCCATCCCCATGTCACTTCGCACCCCCCATCACCCCTCACCCCCGTTTATCTGCTCTCACCCCATGCCTCGCCACCAGGCGGAGCGCCTCCGGGATGGCGTCAGCAAGCTGTACGACCGCCTGCAGGTCAGTCCTTGCCGCGCCCGAGGCCGTCTTTTCGTGTGCTGCTCTCGCCCTCCCGCATCACCGCTGCTCTCCTAACGTCTCCTCCTCCGCCTCCTGGTGGTGCTTGCTCCCCCCTCTTCCTTGTCCCACCCCTCTCTCGCCCTTTTCTCCCCTGCTCCCTGTTCTTCTCACCTTCCCTTCGCCTGCGCTCTGCAAGCAGAAGCTCAAGGACGGGGCGGCCGGGGCGAACCGCCACCTGTTATCGCAGCTGCTGCAGCCCTTCTTCCAGGTGACTGCCCATGGCTCCCTGCACTGCTGTGTGACTCGTGCCTCACAGCCACACGTGTGCATGGCATGCAGCCAACTGGTAGTGTGAAACTTCGTGCTTTGTCAGCTCAGCCTCTAGTTTCACAGTACCAGTTGGCGTCGTTGATAAAGCCCTGTAAGCGCCACGTCTCCCCCTTTCCCTCCCCTCTTACCTTTCCGTACTCCCACCTCCACACTCCCAACTGTCCCTTCCCTCGTGTGACCTCCCACCCCACCAGTCGCTTGACGCAGCATTGGCGCAGTTTGAGGCGGACAAGGCGAGGCGGCAGCAGAGGAGGGGGCAGCGCATGGGGGCAGCAGGGGGGCGGGCGCCCCTTGCAGTGGGGCAGAGATAGCTTGGTGTGGGGGAGGCCGTGTGACGTGAGAGGGCATGAGGAGGCTACAGGAGGCCCATGTTTTGTGGGCCCTGGAACAGGCAGACAGGGGTACACCTCCCCTGTCTCCATCCCAGTCAGCCAACACCTCGTGATTCCTGTTGTAACTGTAATCACTTGTACTCTGCAGTGGTTGCAATCAGACCCTACTGTAAAACGTCGCGAGCATGCTACCTCTTTAGGCAACCAACCATTCCCACAGTTGAGCATCCACTGAAGTGCACCCAGCTATTACCCACATAAAAGGAAACACACTGAGCCTGTATAAACTGGTAACGATACACATGTAATTAAATAAATTAAATCATTATAGACAAGAGTACATGCACGGAGGGTGGTTAGCGGAGAGGAGCAGCAGCCTGTCCCCCAGCACGTCCATGGCGGGCTGCAGCAGCCCGCCCACGCGCCTGCCCACCACACCTACCAGCCGCCGCTCCTCCACCGTCGCCTCCTCGCAGCCCCTGCTGCCCTCCCCGCTGCCGCACCGTATGGCACTTGGTATGGCGTCCGCGTCTGCAAGCCAGTCCGCACCACACATGGCCTCGCTCCCACTTCTCTCCCCCCCTGCCACTCCCACGCCTTCTCCGCTCGCCCTCTCCGCCGCATCCCCGGCTGCTCCACCCTGCCACTCATTGACACATGCACTGCCCTCAGCCCCCTGCTTGTGTGCCCCCTGCTGCTGGTCCTGCTGTGCCTGCACACCCACAGTGCCTTGGGCTGCCAGCCATGTTGCTACCCGCACGCATGCGCGCTTCCTGGATGCCGAGTCATGCAAGGGGCTCCGCGTCACACCCCTGCTCCTCATCTGCTCTGCCACCCCACCATGTCGCCACTCCTCCAAACCCCTCCGCTCCCTCCCATTCCCCCCCTCTTGCCTCCCTTCCCAACCTTCACCTTTCTCCTGCCCCTCCCTCTCCCCTCTTCCCTTTTCTCCCTTCCCCTGTCCACTCCCCTCCCCCTTCCCCTCCCCCTTCCCCTCCCCCTTCCCCTCCCCCTTCCCCTCCCCCTTCCCCTCCCCCTTCCCCTTCCCCTCCCCCTTCCCCTCCCCCTTCCCCTCCCCCCTCCCCTTCCCCCCCTGCAGGCGGAACACGTGCACGCCCCCAGCGTGCAGGGCGAAGAGGCGGCCATGGTGCACGGCGAGGGCGAGCAGCGGCCCTCTGCTGGCGCGCGGGATGTGCGTGTCCAGGTGGTAGCGCCCCACCTCCCTGCCACTCGTGCAGTCTATGCACTGAGAGGCCAAGTGGGGGGGAGTGGGAAGGGACAGAGAGGGAGTAACGGAGGGCAGGAGGACAGGAAGAGGGGGGGTCTACTGACTGCAGCGCACATGGCGCACATGGCGTACATGGCACGCTTGGCACGCATGGCACGCATGGCACGCATGGCAAGCATGGCACGCATGGCACGCATGGCACGCATGGCATGCATGGCGCACATGGCAGCAGGTGAGGGCTGACCTGCACGGATGCAAAGTCCTCATGCGGCAGCGATGGCAGCGCCACAAACAGAGACGTGCCTGCGAAACACATCACGTCTGGCGGGAGAGAGGGAGACCAGGGAGGGGGGAAGGGGGCAGGCGTGCAGGTGCAGGTGGGGGGTGCGCAAGGTGGTGATGCGCGCGGCACATGGATGGAGAGCAAGGGCGACACGTCCATGGGCACTTGAGGGTCCATGGGCATTTGAGGGCCCATGGGCATTTGAGGGCCCATGGGCATTTGAGGCCCCATGGGCATTTGAGGGCCCATGGGCATTTGAGGGCCCATGGGCATTTGAGGGCCGATGGGTCGGACAGCAGGTGGCGTGGCGGCCGCAAACACGCAGCGAGGCAAGGCAAGGCGAGGCAAGGCAAGGCGAGGCAAGGCAAGGCGAGGCAAGGCAAGGCAAGGCGAGGCAAGGCGAGGCAAGGCAAGGCAAGGCGAGGCAAGGCAAGGCAAGGCAAGGCAAGGCAAGGCATGGCAAGGCCTATGTTGGAAAAAACGCAAATTTCAGTTTGCGTTTTGCGTTTATACGCAAGCAAAATTCGTACGCTGCGTTTTGGGTGTAGATTCGCCAAAATACGCACGGGCTGACCGCAAAACAAAACCAAAATTTCCGCGACAGTTCGCGACAGGGCGAAACTATTCGGGGGTTTCGCACATCGCGAAATTAACATCAAATTTCGAATTTCAAAGCCGAGGCGCACCAAACCCCCTATCACACCGCTAACCACCCCACTCCACCCCGTCATTCCCACACCTCTCCCAACCCAATGTCCAACTCCCTTTTCCCCAAACAGAGTACGCTTTCCAAGCATAAAGAGCAGCCATTCTAGCATTTCGAACTCATTCTCTTCTCTAGCTTCCCCTTCCGTCTCCAGCATGGCCTCCACGCCTAGACCCACTCCGTCTTCCCCTTCAGCTGCGGCAGCCCCTGTTTCCGCGGAGGCTTCTACTAGCAGCACACTCTTTTGCCCCGACAGCACGCATGTCGTGTTCCGCCACTTCAACGTCCCAATCGACGACTCAAGCGATAGCGCGACGAAGATCTGCAAGTATTGTGAGTTCAAGTTCGTCGGCGGCATGTACCGCTGCGCTCAACACATCACCAGCTGGTCCGGCATGAGACGTCGCGAAGTGCGGCTCTGCCCCTCCGCTCCCAAGTCTGCCCGTGACGCCGTGAAGACTTCGTACAATTCGAAGCTGCAGGCGCGCGAACAAAAGCGCGCGGCGGAGGCAGCCGCACTCGGTGCGGTGAGCGGCGCTGCTCGTGATGGCGAAGGGAAGAGGTCCCGCATCACAGACTTCTTCGGCGACAAAGGGACATGCGCGAAGGAGGCAGCAGACAAAGCGCTTTGCCTGCTCTTCGCTGGCCTTCGACTTCCCGAGCATCACGCAGTCCACCCTCTTTGGAGGAACGCCGTCAGCTGCATCGCTCGCGCGGGCGCGACGTACGTTCCTCCGAAGCGCCGTTACATCGGAGGGGTGGGCTTGCAGAAGTGCCGCAAGCGCATCGCGGCGGCCTTGGCTCCGATTGCCGCGAGCTGGCGCCGCGACGGGGTCACCATCGCGTCGGACATGATGACCGACGGCTGCGGACGCCGTTTTCTGCTCATCAACGACTCGGGAGCCGTTTTCACCGAGTCGATTGACACGAGAATGGAGTCGAAGACAGGCGGCTACATCGCGAGCCTCCTCCGCCCGATCCTGAGGAGGGTCGGGCCCGACAACGTCGTGGCCCTTTGCATGGATGGCGGCTCAAACTATGCCGTGGCATGCCGGGAGCTCGTGGCGGAATTCCCGCACATCGAGACCGTCCCCTGCGCCACCCACGTTCTCGACCTTCTCCTGGAAGATGTCGGGAAGATGACGTGGGCGAAGGACGTGGTGGACACGGCGTCTGACATGATCAACTTCGTCCGCGCCCACCACTTCACCCGCGGCTACCTGAGGAGCAAACACGTCAACGGCGGTAAGGGGCGGCAGGTCCTCAAGCCAGCGGGCACGCGGTTCGGGACACAATTCATCGCTGTGTCCCGACTGTGCGACGTTCGGCTCAGCCTTGTTCAGATGGTCCTGAGCGAGGAGTGGAGAGGGTGGGCGGTGGGGGGGAGGAAGGTGGGTGGTGAGATGTTCAAGGCACAAGTGATGGACGCCTTGTGGTGGCAGCTGGCGGAGTTTTTCATCAAGCTGCTGGAGAAACCCTTCATCGTCATGCGAGCCACCGATGCCACGGCAAAGGGCATGATGGGCCGCATGTACGACACCATGCTCCAGCTCACCGAGGACGTCTCGGATTTCCTCGACAAGCATGCGGAGGGGAGGCTCACAAGGGGAGAGGTGGCGGAGGTGAATAAAATTGTGAAAAATCGATGGGATGGGGGGCTCGCCTGCCCCATGCACGTGGTTGGCCGGATCCTAAATCCGGCCAACCAAGAGGAGGGCATTTTCCGCACCGACATCGAGTGCACCCGCGTCTTCAAGTCGTACATCTCCCGCCACTACGACCACCTCACCATCACCCGCAGGGATGGCGAGGAGCGCCGTGCCTCCCTTGTGCTTCAGGAAGGCCTAACGGCCTTCCTGAACCTGCAAGGGAGCTTCGGCCTCCCTGCTGCCATTGCGGACCGCGAGGCTGTGAAGGAGGGGAGGCAGAGTGTCGTGCAGTGGTGGAACTGGCACGGCACGGACTTTCCCGAGCTCGCCACGCTTGCGTGCCGCGTCCTCACACAGCCCGTGTCGGCGGCAGCATGCGAGCGCAACTGGGCCGTGTGGGAGTCGGTCCACACGGCCAAGCGCAACCGCTTGGGGTCGGAGAAGCTCAACGATCTCGTGTACGTTGCGCACAACTGGAAAGTTGTGCACAACTGGCACTCGGTCGCGGAGGGGCAGGGGGTGGTCAGCGGGAATATTGAGGAGCCCCCCATTCCGGAGGGGTACATCGAGCAGGAGGAGGGGGACGAAGAGGAGGGGGAGGATGCTGTGCTTGCCGATGAGTACGAGTAGAGCTGACTGACCTGCGGGAGGAGGAGGTGGGGAATGGGGTGCAGTAGTGGAGGGGGACTGTAAAGGGTGGGGGGGGGGGAGTAGTGGAAGGGGGCTGCAGGGGGAGGTGTTGTGGAAGGGGGGTGCATAGGAGGTTAGAGTATTGGGGAGGGTAGTAGTAATATGCGGGTATTATGATGTACGAAATTTGCCTATCAATAAAATGCGGATGGGGATTTGGGGTGCTTTGTAACCCCCCCATTCCCGCCTCTTACCCCAAATTTCCACCTGCCCGGGAAAGTTTTTTTTGCTGCCCGGGCCACCGTTTTTCCTGCGTACCAGACCCCCTTACCCATAGCGTTTTGCGTATATACGCTAGCGTACTAAACGCGAAACGCGTTTTTTCCAACATAGGGCAAGGCGAGGCAAGGCAAGGCGAGGGGCTGACCGGCAGGGCAGGCGGAGGAGGAGGGGATGCGGCGCAGGATGACGGCGGGCGTGGTCCAGTCCGCCAGGTACACCGCCTGCTGCGATGCGAACGCACATGTCACCCCGTCGCCCCTGGGGAATGGCAGCGAGGGGGACGAGCAAGGGAGCAAGCAGAGGGGCGAGCAAGGGACAAGGGAGACAACGGCATAGGCTGGACACAGGGTGGGCCCAAGGTATGGTGGTGCGGGAGACAGCAGTGTGATTAGGGAGGTGGAATGAGGCAGCGCAGCACGGTGGAACATGGATGACAACTGCAGCACTTGCACCCGCACAGCACGCAGCACCTACTGCGAGGGGAAGAGCCGCTTGTTGCACCTCCGGCCCGGCATGACGGCCACGGCGCACACGCGCTCGGGGTCGCCCCACTCGTCCGTGAGCTGCACCTGGTGGAAGAGCACGGCCTCGCCGCCCGCCACGTGCCACAGCCCCACGCACCCGCCCTCCTCCACCACGAGCAGGCGCTCCCCGTCCAGCCACAGCAGCGGCGCACAGCTCACCATCCGCTCCACCGCGCCTTCCGTCTGCAGGCGCAGCGCCTCGCTGCCATCGCGCACGTCAAACACGCTCACGTCGCACCCCCCCGCCGCCACCATGGCCAAGGAGGGGCCGCACGGGGCTGCGTGCCACGCCGGTGGGGCGAGGTCCCTCCACGACGGAGGGGGGGCCGCGGGAGGGTGGGAGGTGGGGTTGGGGGGGGACGGGAGGGGGGAGGGGTGCGGGGGGGGACAGGGAGGGAGGCGAGTTGGGGGGTTGGCGGGGTGAGAGAGGGGCATTGAGGGGCGGGAGGAGTGGGAGGCGGTATCTGTTCCCGCGGAGCAGCAGTGCGCTGCTCTGCCAGGCACTCGCATGCGCCAGCACACAGCGCTGCACAGCAGTTGTGTGACGCCCGTCGCTGACGCTCAAGGTTGGCTTCTCCATCTCGCGGAGGCTCGTCCCCACGCGTTGTCGAGGGACCCGCCCCACAGTCTGTGGGTGCAGCGCTGCCTGCCATCTGTAGCGCCCGGCAAACCGGCGATTGCCCGCTACAACCTTGCCCTGCTACGGCTGCATGCGGCAAAAATGTGGTGCCACGTGGAGGCAGGGCCCTGGGCGTGCTGGCATGGCGAGAGGGGCCAGGCGAGGCGGCTGCGGTGGTGGGTGACTGCAGTGCGTGGGGTGCCTGCACTGTCCCACAAGCTGCTGTGCGTGTGGCTTGTGTGCACAAGGGGAGAGGTGGAGGAGCAGGGGACGCAGAGCAAAGGATAGGCGCGTGCGGCAGTGGTGAAGTGCTGTTGGGTGGCGAGTGGCCGGGGCACTGTGCATGGTGTGGTGGAGCCGCATGGAGGGAGGAGGGAGGGCAGCAGGGCAGTGGGGTGTGGCACGCTGGCGAGGGGCTGGCGGGCGAGCAGCCAGCAGCAGGCGCGGGAGAGGCGGCACAAGAAGGGTGGCAGGCAGCGACTGCACCACGTGGTGCTGCTGTGCGTTCTATTCGAGACTGAATGGCGGCAACAGAGGAAGCAGCAGCAGCGTCATCAGCACCATGTGTACCATATGCGTGCGGGGGCGAATGCAAGAGCGAGGGCGGGGCAGTGGGAGCGGGAGGCGGGAAGCAGGAGACGAGTTGGGCGGAGAGGAGGTCCCAGCAGCAGAAGGCCGCATGCGAGCGCGACGTGGCGAGCAGCAGACGCGCGCTCAGGCTGTCGTGCGATGGCACGGACAGCACGTGGCACGCCGCCGGCACACCCAGACGCATGCTGGGTGGCGGAGAGAAGGACGCCCGCTCCTGGTGGTCAGGCCACGGGGAGAGGGGAGAGGGGAAAAGGGCATGCAGCGCAAGCAAGAGACGAGGGGGTGTGCAGCAGGGGAGTGGGACAGTGAGAGGGCATCACTGACCACTGCTCGCTACACTGCCTGTGCTGCTTCGCGGTGCTACACAGAGTGCATTGTCACGCTGCCGGCATTGCTGCATCCTCCTTCCTCCCCACACCATTACCTGCAGTGTGGTTGAGTCCAGCACCAAGCAGCACCCATCCCAACCTGCCAGCACCAAGCACTCCCCGTCGCTCCCCATGAATCGCCCTGCAGGGTAAATTCCCCTTCTACCCTTCCACACGCCCCCGTTGTCTTCTCCGCATCCATCCGAGCAGCCTCTCCCCCCCCCCTCCGCCCTCCTTCCGCCCCTATCCCCACCCAGCGCCTCTCCCCCTACTCCTCTTTCCCCAGGCGCCTCCGCCCCGCCCCCCACAGTTTGCGGGCGGAAGCGCGGGGGGTCTGTGGCGGTGCAGGGGCGGAGGAGGTCGCAGTCGTCGTCGGAGTCGAACTGCCAGCTGCAGAACCGGCACGCGCACGCCCCGCCGTGCCCCCCAGCGTCGCCTTCCCCTCCCATTGCGAGGCTGTCCGCCGCGCCGTCCGCGAGGCGCACTGCGGCCTGTGCGCGCCCGGGGGAGTCGCCATCGCCATCGCGGAGGCGCCGCTGTGCGTCGCGCCCGGCGTGGTCGCCCTCGCCGCCACCAGCCGCGGCACGCCCAGCGCCCTCTCCCCCGCACGCTTGCTGCCTCGCGCTCCCCTCCCACCCGTTCTCCCCCTCGGCTTGAGGTTGGCGGGGGGGCGAGAGGGAGCACGACGAGGGGCGGGAGGTCATGGGATGCGCGCCTGCGCCTTCACGGTGGGCGAATTGCGCGCGCCACTCCTCCTCCCGCCACTCCTCTTCGCGCCACTCCTCTTCCCGCCACTTCTCCTCGCGCCACTCCTCCTCGCGCCTCTCCTCGCCTCGCCTCTTCTCGTCGCTGTCGCTACGGCAATCCCGAGGGCGCTGACTGGTTTCACTGGGCATGCGCACGCGGGTGTGACCGCCAGGCGTGACTCGCGCCACGTGGCACGTGCTGCCGTCCATCGCTGCCACCACCTCGCCTCCCTCGCTCGCATCTCCTCGTCGCCGCTTCATCGCTCACGCTTTAACCTGCTGCTGACAGACTCACGCCCTGCAGCACGCCTCTGGCAAGGGCCTGAGCGCGAGCAGCGCAGGGCGCACTGATGACGTCACCAATGTGGTGTCCATGCGCTGGCTCGAGTTTCATCACGTGGTTGTTGGAATGGTGGGTGGATTGGCTTGGGGGAGGTGGGTGGGCGGAAGCAGGGCTTATGCTAACAGGGTAAATGTCCGTTTTTGACTGATTATCAACGCAGATTTCGGCTGGACCCTGTAGCTCAAAGGGTCCGGTAAAAATCCTCCCGTAAAGTTCAGGGCTGTTTTGGCCGCCACCCTTTCTGTACGGAGAGTTTTCCGAGAAATCTGTTGATTTTTTAACTCATCCCCACCCCCTCCCCACCCACGTCCCTGTCCCCAACCCCACCCCCTTCGGTTTGTCATTTCACACCCGTCATATTTCCCGAGTCTCTGGCGATTTTGTTCCCTCCCTCTCACTCATCGCTCTTTGCCTTGTCTCACTCCTAAAGAAAACCTATATTCCAGCCTCGAATCTTTCTCAGAGACCAAGTGTGTCTAAGTTTTCATGCCAACGCTAAGGCAGAATGTCATGCCCTGACAGAATGGGGTCACTGAGGAACGCATCCGTTTGGTCATGGAGGTGGCTCGTACCTCCATGATCCATGCCGGTGCACCCCAATTTCTGTGGCCGTTCGCCATTCGCTACGCCGCTCACCAGCTTAACCTGCCTCACTCCCAGCGGCCGCAGGTTTCGCCGACCCTCTTCTGGACCAGGTCTCCTGGTGACGAGTCTGCATTCCATGTCTGGGGATGCCTCGCTCACGTTCGTGCCTCCAGCACGGACAAGCTTACTGCCCGCACTGTCCCCTGTGTCTTCCTTGGTTTCCCCCTCGACTCGTCTGACTGGCACTTTTACCACCCGCCGTCTCCCCGCCTCCTTCACTCGCGTAACGTCACTTTTGACGAGTTTGTCTCCTACCATCGCTTTCCCCACCGAGGTCTCCCAGTTTCCCCACCCCTGTTTCTGGTTCCCACTCCCCCCATAGCCACTGCTCCTCTTCCCCCCCGTCCTGCCCTGTCTGGTATGTCTCACGTCACTCCCCTCCCCTCGGTTGTCCCGGTCGAGGAGTCGGCTGACTCCGGTGGCCCCGCGGTGCAATTCTTGCCACCTGTTTCTGCCCCGGTGTCTCCTCCTCCGCTGCCGTTGCCGCCGCAGTAGCAACCACAGCCGTCGTCGCCGCCGCAGCAGCAGCAGCCGTCCGTGGGCTCTGTAGGTGGTGACGATGCTAGAGTGGGTGCTGGTTCTAGTGGTGCTAGTCCTGGGGATCATGTCGTGGCTTGTCCCGGCGATCTCGGTGGTGGCACTAGTGCTGGAGAGGGTTCTCGTTCTGGGGGTGCTGGAGTGGAGTGTTCCAGAGGTACAGCTGGAGGTTCTGGTGTCTGCGTGGAGCAGCAGCAGCAGAAGTCGCCGCCGGTGTTTGCCCTTCGCCGGTTCGGTCTTCCCTGCCCTGGCCACCTACATGTGCCTCCCCCGCCGCCGCCTCCCCTGCCTGACTACGGCACAGTGTTTCCTCCGCCGGACTTGTCTCCGGCTCGTTTCCCCCCTCGTTCTCCTCCTGTGTCCCCTCTTGTGTCTCCCGACCCGACGCCTCTGTCCCACGTGTGGTCTCGCCGTCCCTCTCGTGCTCGCCCTGTCTCTCAAATTCAGCGCTCTCACCCTATGTTGCTCCGTTCCCATGCGTTTCGTCCTCCCCTCCTACCGCCGCCTCCTCCGTCGTCGCTTGTAGTCGCTCCGCCTCTTCTGTCTGACTGCCTTCGTGTTGCTAGTCCGCTTGTTCCTCGGGTCCTTGCCTCCCTCGCTACCGACGTGTCTGTTCCTGTCTCGAGTCTTGACGCGCTTGTCGCTGCCGTCGCCGACTTCGCCTCTACCCATCGCCTTGACCATGCCATAGCCCTGGTCTCTGGCCCTGTCCGTCCTCCGTCCGTCGGGGGTGCTTCTGCCCTTGGCAGTGATGTCCTGGAGGATCGGCAGTACGAGCTGGCTTTCCTATCCGAGGTCGCGCCTCATCTCTGCTCCATGCTACTATTCGATGAGGATGACCAAGACGCCTTTGACATCCCGGCCCCTCGCACCTACGCTCAGGCGACCTCATGACCGTGGGCCTCTCAGTGGATAGCTGCCATGGACGCAGAGATGGCATCTCGGAGATCCAGTGGCACCTACATCGACGCAGTTCCCCCACCTGGGGTGAACGTAGTCGATGGCCAGTTGCTTTTCAAGGTGAAGAGGCCCCCTGGAGAGTCGCCGGTGTTCAAGGCGCGCTACGTAGCTAGAGGCTTCAATCAGCGCGAGGGTATTGACTTCTTTCACACCTTCGTCCCGACCCCGCAGATGACTACTCTTCGGGCGCTGCTACACATAGCAGCACAGCGTGACTATGAGCTGCACTCCCTCAACTTCTCGACACCGTTTCTTCAGGGCAGTCTACATGAGCAAGTCTACCTGCGTCGCCCGCCAGGCTTCACCGGCACCTTCGCCATAGGGACCCAGTGGCACCTTTGGTGCCCGGTTTACGACCTGCGGCAGGCACCACGCGAGTGGCACAACACAATGCGTGCTACGTTAGCTGACCTGCAGCTTTTCCCATCGTCTGTAGACCCTTCGCTCTTCGTTCGCGCTGGCCAGACCCCTTTCTACATCCTTGTCTACATAGACGACCTGGTCTTTGCTACAGCAAACAGAGACGCAATGGCCTCGGTAAAGGCTGGGCTGCTGAGGAGACACACCTGCACTGACCTGGGAGAGTTGCGCCACTACGTTGGCCTACAGATCTCCAGAGGGGTAGATCTACGCGCACCATCACTGTGACACAGCCACACTTGGTACGCCAGGTCCTTCATAGGTTCAACCTTCATTTCTCTTCTGCACAGCCCATACCTCTACTAGTAGATGACAGGCTGTCAGTTCCAGTCCCTGAGGAGTATGTATAGCCTAGTGGTCTTTACGCAGAGCTGGCGGGTTGCCTCATATACCTGATGACTTGCACTCGTCCAGATCTCTCATACCCTCTCAGCATCCTCGCTCGCTTTGTGGCCACTGGCAGACACCGACCGCAGCACTGGTCGGCCACTAAGAGGGTTTTGCGTTATCTAGCCAGTACATTGAGCATGGGGCTAGTGCTAGGAGGACGCAGGCCAGTGGTCCTTACAGGGCGCATAGACACTTCGTGGGCAGACAACGCTGAGACACTCAGGTCCTCCCAGGGCTACTGCTTTAGCCTTGGTGCCGTCGCTGTCTCATGGCGGCCCACCCGTTCTTCGTCTGTTGCCCAGTCTAGCTGTGAGGCTGAGATTTACGCCGGTGCCATGGCGGCACAAGAGCTCCACTGGCTCACCTTCTTGCTCACAGACTTAGGTGAGCGTACTAGCTCTGCCGCGGTCCTGTACGCTGACAACATGGCCATGATCCTCCTGTGTCAGGAGCCTCGACTGGAGGGGAGAGAGAAGCACATCCAGCTGCGGTACTTCCTCCTGCTCGAGTTGCAACAGCGCCGCCTGCCGTTAAGAGGCCCGCGTAATACACTTGGCCTCCGGTGCCAACACAGCTGATATCTTTATGAAGGCGCTTGCGCCTAAAGTTTATCAGCGGCATTGTGTACAACTGGATCTAGTTCCTATATCTTCTCACCTGCTAGGGCCTTGATTGTGTACTACATTTATATTATTTTGACTGGCCTTGTGGCCCTTGTCCTAGAGGCTAGGCTAGTAGTACCGCCCTGGGTTGCTCTTCGTTAGTTCGTACGCTTGTTGACTGGTCTTCGGACCCTTGCCTCAGAGGTTGGACTAGTAGTGCCACCCTGAACTGTGTGTCTATTACTAGTCGCTGCCCCTTGTCTAGCCTAGGGGGTGTGTCAACATATAATTTGTATATGTTTAGGCTAGCTACTGTAGGTGCAGGCTTATATGAGGTACAACCCATTATGATATATTCTCTTGTACTGTCAAATTCTAGTCATCTTTTCTACTTTGATAGTTTGGGCCGACAATATAGGCCGAACCTGCGAGGTCGAGGTCTTCGGATGTACGAGCTGTAATTTAGCATAGTAATGAAATGTAATTCCTTTCAGCGGAGCTGTGCGACAACCCCGTTATGGCAGTATACGCTTTATTGTGCTTTAGTGACTAACACACGGGATAAGGAAATACCATTTCCTTACAGCTTGTTATGAATAATAACTCAGAATGCGCGGAATAATAATGACGAGTACAAGAATGCTAGCCTAGCATTATATAGCGAGTGCTCTAGCTAGGCGACGAACCCGGAGGGCTAGGTTGGGTACAGGCGCGGTCGAAAGGATCGGAGGCGGCGCGGGCGTGCCTCGGGGTCGCGTCGGAAACGGACAGAGCCTGGTCTTTCGAGAGTTCGGGTGTACGCGATTGCAGTACAACCCGGTAAGGAATAAAATTCCTTACACTACCCCCCCTCTTAAGGAAGGTGATCAACATCGGGAACGCCTTTTCGGGTCAAATAAGGTTTGAGCACCGAGTGTTCCTGAATCGAGTCGGAAGTGACCCATGTGTTGTCTTCGCTTGTACGGTCGACCCTGCGGACAAGAAAATCCACGTGTCGACCTATTGAGTCGAGGCGGACTCGATGACTCAAAAGCCGGAAAGGCTCAAGAATCGGTTCAGCCATCGGGCGGACACTTTGGGCGGACGCTGGTCGTGCGACTGCAGACGTGCTGGCAACGTAGGGACGAAGGAAGCTGACGTGGAAGGCGTCGTGAATGCGCCACTCATCCGAAAGTAATAATTTCGCCATGACAGGTGTCACCATTTTGAGAATTCGGAAAGGCCCGCAGAATCTGGGTCGAAGTTTCGAAGGCAGGGGCAGGCGCAGGTTCTTCGTGTCGAGAAGGACTAGTTGCCCAGCGGCCATCGTGATATCGCGGCGATGAAGGTCTGTATAGCGTCGAGCTGTTGTGTTGGACTTGCGAATGAATTCGATCGCTTTGTCCCGGGTAGCTTGAAAACTTGTCACGAACTGCTGGGAACGTAGCACGGGGTTGTCGATATGTGTCGTCGGTACCGTTAGATCCATCCCGTAGTTGAGGAAGAACGGCGAGTGATTAGTCGTAGCAGATGGGGCGTTGTTGTAGGAAAATT